CTCAGAATAGACCTGAAGCTGCACATTTTGACATTCCATCCATGTAGAAGGAAATCCATGTGTGAGACCAGGCTGATAAAATGACTTAAATGATTGAAAGTGAAGAAGAATAGCACTGAAGCAGCAAGTTACTCATGACATTTCCAGAGAGTGGAGAATCAGGCACCCTTCTCTACATGCAGGACTGGGCCTGAACATTGTACAGACACTTACAAGCCAGTGTTTTGCAGAAACTCACTGCCAGTGGGGATTGGCAGGGCATTCATCCATAGGATAATCTCAATCTGCAGTTAAGCCTGTGTGTGGGGCACAGTTGAGGCTCTTAGCTCAGGATGGCAATGAAACCACACACTCCACAAAGATGATACGTCTCCAAAGCATGGAAAGGCGTTCCAAGGTTAGAGATGACCCTACCCACCTCTTTTGAGCTATTTTCTGTACAGTCAGATGAGGTACCAGGGCAGACATGGAAAATCAGGAGTCAGGTCAGTTGGGAGCCAGGAGATTATGTAGACTTCATTGTAAGAAGTGACTGGTTCAAGGGTGTTCATGACAAGAGTTAGAGCAACTAGAGTGTATTGAGGCTGAGCAAATATGGTGGAAGGGAGGGCGAGAGTGAGGGCAATGTGGGTGCTTAAGGCTGTTAATAAGCAAGAGAATTTCCTGTCTCATTCTGGGTTGCAGCAGCTGCTGCTGTTCCAAGCCCTGCAAATGAAGACAGGCATTTAGAAGATTTAATAAAGCTGAGGACTGTGTGGGCAGAGGAAAGCAACAACTTCTAGACAAACCTTGCCAAAAAAAAAAATAGGCTTGCAAAAGTTGGTACAAAAAGGAGGCAGGTGCGGCTTCTTTAAATTTATTTTTAAAAATATTTATTTTTAGCTCCTGGAGCAGATATCAGAAGCGGTTAAGTAATTGTACGTGTAGTTTAACAGCACAATAAGAATCACAACAAGAATATGTGGCTGTTGAACTCACCCCAGGACACCCTGAATTTCCTGGGTAGTGATGCCATGACTTGCTCATCAGAAATCTGTAAGTAATTCTGGAAGTTAGGAACATACATATAAACACACACACACACTACAGTATAAGTAGAAATGTGATACTGGAGAGGAGAAAGGGAGTAATTTATTCCACATTCAGTAGTTTAGTGCCTTGATTTCATTCAGTGTTGTTTGAATTTAATTTAATACAATTATTAATTAACAGTTCATCATTAAATATAAATGATTTTCAAATGAACAAAACCATTCAAATTAATCAGGCTGCTGCTGTTATTGGCATATTTCCCACTATAGTGTCTTACGGGTTTTTCAGATTAAATTCTGTGCTTCAGAATGGTTGAAATTATAGGGGAAGTTATATTGTTTCAGAAAACACCCTGCTGGTTTTATTTCTGATGACAAACATAAATGAAGTATCTGAGGAAATCTTTTGAGGTGATGAGTCTTAGATATCAGCTCATTTTATGTTGATTCCAATAATAAACAAATAGGCAAATAACAAACAATGATAAACAAATAGGCAATAATAAAAAAAAATAGGCAAAATGTGTTCTCGTTACAGTGATAACATGATTAAAGTTTGCATAAAAGGCTGAAACTTGAATTATTTGCTGGGAAGCAAATTCCTCCAAGCAAAATGATAAAAGCTACATTATTAAGTTTAACATATGCTGAGCAATGGTTTTAAGTAAGAGTCAGCATACTACATCCCTCTGCCCAAATCTGGCCTACTGCCTGTTTTTGTAAATAAAGTTTTAGTTGAACACAACCATGTCTGTTTGTTTACATGTTGTCTATAGCTGTTTTTCCTTTTGAGTAGAGAGACTATTAGTTTTGAGAGACTTAAAATAGGAGCTTTCTGGCCCTTTATGGAAAAACTTTGCTAAAGTCTGCTCTACTTTTTTACCTGTTTTAAAAGCCCTAGGGGTTATTCTTTGTCCCCTATTAGGAAACTGAGGCACAGAGAATTTATGCAGCCTGCTCAAAATCACACAGCCTGTCAATGGAAGAGCTAGGATTCCAGCTTTCTCAGTCTGCCTCTAAAGCCTGTGACTCTTGGTACTTTGCTATATTGTTGACCAATTTATTCTGTATTTAGATTTCTTCTTTCATCTCGCTTGATTTAAAATCCCACTCTAGGTCTCTTACAATAATTCTATTTCCCTGCTGGATTTACACTTGGGATGAGCAATTAAGAACTGATTTCTACTCCTTTTAAGGGAGTCAGGAGATTGTAGACCAGGCGCATCAAATCCTAAGTTGGTTTATGGGATAAGAGAACCAGTTGTATGGGAGTGTGATAGCATTTGAGAATCAACTCCAATAGACATTGTTTATTGATTGTTTCCTACATAGGAGGCTAGACAAAAAATAAGGCATGCTCTTTATATGAAAATAGGTCACGGTTGAACAATGTGGGGGTAGGGGCACTGATCAGCCATGCAGTTAAAAACCTGCCTATAACCTCGGACTCTCCCAAAACTTAACTATTAATGGCCTACTGTTGACTGGAAGCCTTACCAAGAGCGGAAACAGTCGGTTAACACATATTTTGCATGTTATATGTATTATATACTGTATTCTTACAGTAAAATAAGCTAGAGAAAATACTAAGAAAATCACAGGAAAGAGAAAATATATTTACTGTCCATTAAGTGGAAGTGGATCATCATAACGCTTTTATCCTTATTGTCTTCACGTTGAGGGGGCTGAGGAGGTAGAGGCGCTGGTCTTGCTGTATCAGGCGTGGCAGAGGCAGAAGTGGTAGAGGAAGCAGAAGGGGAGGCAGGCGAGGCAGGTACACTTGGTGTAACTTTTGTGTTTTTAAAAATCCACATATACAAGTGGACCTGTGCAATTCACACGTGTTGTTCAAGGGGCAACTGTAGATGGTCTCACTACACTGTGGGGAATGCTATGTTAGAAGCTGCACAGGGAGAGCTCTCCTAAGACATGTGGGTGTGGGAGGGGATGGGACCCAGGGACGTTGCTAGAAGAGGAGATCTCTGATGGAAGTTGGCCAGAAAAAAGTTCTAAGAGGGTCTTCAAAACCAGAGAGAGCTCTGTGAGGAAGAACACACTGTATGTCTTGGCACAGTATTATCCTGGAGGCTCTGAGAAGTGCGTAAGAGAAAGAAAGGCGTCAATTCACGAAGGTCTTTGAACATTTATGTCATCACGGTCAATAATTTTCACTGTTTCCAGTTGACTATGGGAAAAGATGTGAGAAATTTTAGTACATGTAAATTGTTTTAAGATTTTTATTTTAAATCCTATAGTTTCAGGCCAATGTAGTCCTTGTTCTCATCAAAATGTGGCATTCAAAGTACCTATATTAGAGTTGCATGGGATGCTTGGTTAAAATGTAAATCACTGGGCCCCACTCACACCTCATATATCAGACTCTCTGTGGAATAGTGGCTACAAATCTGCATTTAAATAATGCAGGTGAGGCTGGGCACGGTGGCTCACGCCTGTAATCCCAGCACTTTGGGAGGCTGAGGCAGGTGGATCACAAGGTTTCAAGACCAGCCTGGCCAATATGGTGAAATCTTGTCTTTACTAAAAATATTAAAAAAATAATTAGCTGGGTGTGGTGGTACATGCCTCTTGTCCCAGCTACTTGGGAGGCTGAGACGGGAGAATCGCTTGAACCTAGGAGGTGGAGGTTGCAGTGAGCTGAGATCATACCACTGCACTCCAGCTGCTGGGTGACAGAGTGAGACTCTGTCTCAAAATAAAAAAAAAATTCAGGTGATTCTTATCCCAGATGACTCCTTTATACTCCACAGTTTGAGAATCACTGAAGGATAGTTTTAAGAAGAAATAGGGGGAAAATACATCCATATAAGGGCTGTTAAGGGTCTGAATGCTGGTACCTGCAGAGAGAGGGTTATTAGATTTTAGAAGTGCTTTGGAAATAAACATGGACAAGAGTTTGTTATTAATTGAATACGAATGGTGGCTAGCAAGAAGAAAGGAAATGCCTTTTCTTGTTGAAAAAAAATGACTGAGGTTATTGACATGAGATAGAGAATATTTTCCTCACACCCAAAACTGCGCTCTTCCTATCGTTTCTTTTAGATTAATTCAGGTTCTTGCTCAATAACTTTCCCAGTTTTTACTCTAAAATGAAACATGCCAGCCACTTTGGAAATGGGTTCCCAGTTTAGTTCCACAGAAACGCAAAGGCATATCCAGAGTAGATGCTTGGAATGTGTATTTCTTGAGATGAAGAGGCTGGTATGTAATAGGGTATAACTGAAATTGTCTTTCCAAGTGAGAGTGCTGTGGAGCCTGGCAAGAAGGGCAGTGTAGGTCCATTATGGAGTCTGTTCTGTTGGCAGATTGGCCATGAGAACTAATAAAAATTTGTTCATGAATGAACATCATTACAGGTTTTTTTTTTTTTTTTTTTAACTGTGAAAAAAAATGTTATTTGGTCGATTGTTTTTATCCTCCCACACTTGTGTTATTCAAATCCTCCAAATGACATTTTCAGTCTTCACAACTCTACAAGCTAATCTGTTCTAGATAATCCAAAATGGAACAAGACTTTCTTCTTACATATTCGAAGGACACATATTTGAGGATACAGTTTGCCTTCGCTGCTCTGAATGGCCCAAGAAAATAGCATAAAACCCTGCTGTGATCCCAGCAAAGCCCCAAACCACATGCTTGTTGGGTCATCAGAACTGAGTTCTGACTCTGGTTAATTATGTGGCCTTGGCCCAGTATGTGACTGCACATTGATGTTGAATAAGACACGAATTTAACCCTCAAGGAACTTACTCTTAAACAGAAAAGTCAGAGTCAGGGGTTGGAGAGAGAGTTTGGCTTCAAGGAGGAAGTACTATTTGAGCAAAAGCTTAAAGGACAGATTGGGTTTTCAGGCAAAGAAGGAGGTGGAGGCACATGACTGGAAGCCCCAGCAGAAGCATACCTGGAAGATAGACGAAAGTTTATATTGGATGCATTGAAGGATGTGTAGGAGAATATACCTGGCAGGGGAGATGCCATGATTCCTAAGATTATTTTTCCAGGGCAAGCCTTATCCATTGCAGATCAGGTGTACTGACCCCTGAGATTCCTTCAAATCTGGGAAATTCTACTGCACAATCTGTGGTAGTACGGGAACTGTGTTCATGCTCTCCTCTAGTTAAAAAAAAATATTGAAGAACAGAAAAGAAGGGTATATAGGTGAAAATTAGGCAGTACAGATGAGTAGGGAGAAGATCCTGCAAGGCCTTACAGGTAGTCTTTGGAGGGTGCATTTCATTCTAGGCAATGCTTAGGAGTAGAAGACAAGAATTATTATTGGGAGACTTTGGAGATTCTATAAGTAAGAAAGGAGCCTCAACTAGAATTGCAGCCATTAGATCATCCAGGAAGGAAACAGGGTGGGATGCACCCAGAAATAGGTCTCTGCGGGTTCTGGGAGAAGCCGTCCTCAGTGACAATGTCCATCACAGTTCCAGTTCTTTTGGCATGTGTGTGGTATGTTTAGGCTCTGAATTTAGTTTTGGAATCTCTCCACTTACTGATGTATGCCTCACCCTAAAACTCAATTTTTTCTTCTCTACAGTGGGAATAACAAATGTTCTTGTTGTGAAGAGTGCATGTGAAGTGCTTACACAGCATCTGGCACATGCAGAGAAACTAGCTTACAAATGTTACTTTTCTGACTTCTCGCCTCCACTCCACTTACCCTGTCAGGAAAAAATAATTCACAAGGAATATCAAAACAATGATGCACCGTAGGAGTATCCAAGTATCTTAGCTGAATTATCTCATTCTAGTATAGTGGCAGAGCTACAACTAGAGAGTGCTATAAACCCATGCTTTCAACATCCTGCAGTGCACACCTCAGGCTGGTGAGTAAGGACCTCACTTTCTACTGAACTGGGGCTTGTGAAAGCTGGTATGGAAAGCTTGGTCCAAGGAGATCAGGCTGTGTCTCTAAATAGGGCAGCTATGCTCCACGTGTGTAATTTGATTTGTTCTGTTGCAGATGATATATTGGGCAGAGGTGAGTATGGACTGGTGAAAATCTATTTTGATGATTGGCAAAGCAGGGTAAGGGGGGTCTTTTACTGATAGGAAGCATCATCAGTAGGATTTGTCCCTGATGCCTTTACCACAGCCTCTGAGCACCTCTCAAGTTTTTTCAGGCCAGCTCCAGTTTCAGCGAGGATAGCGTGGGCTTTCTATGCCCAAAATATTCTTACTACAGTTAATGTGTAGGTTATTGCCCCAGCCCAGCTACAGGTTCCCATACGTGAGTTCCATGTATGCAGAAACAGTCCATTTCTTGAAAATGAATTATTTCCTTTTTGTTTTTTTTTCTGCTTAAAGCTCCTTGGGATGCTTCCTTTTAAAAGTCTTTGGAAAATAAGAGCTTAAGCTAGGACAGCCTGAGTCTATTTTTTCTTTGTAAAAATGAAATTGAAATTATCCCCAAAATTCATTAGAATAGCTTTTTTCCCCTTCTTTCTTTTTCTTTGTTGGAAACTATGCAACAGAAACAAAGTAAGAAGACACTACCTTAATTTTAAAGGTAACTCTCACATAAAGAAGAAAGTCATGGCTGAGTAGGGTGGCTCACACCTGTAATCCCAGCACTTTGGGAGGCTGTGGTGGAGGGATCATGAGGTCAGGAGATCGAGATCATCCTGGCCAACATGGTGAAACCCCATCTCTACTAAAAAACACAAAAATTAGCCGGGCGTGATGGCCCACACCTGTAGTCCCAGCTACTTAGGAAGCTGAGACAGGAGACTTGCTGGAATATGGGAGGTGGAGGTTACAGTGAGCTGAGATTGCGCCACTGTGCCACTGCGCCACTGCACTCCAGCCTGAGTGAGATCGAACCACTGCACTCCAGTCTGGTGACAGAGTGAGACTCCGTCTCAAAAAAAAAAAAAAAAGAAAGTCATTATGCCAGTCCAGGGGGAGAGCAAAAACAAGAACTTTAGAGAAAAAAAAAACAAAAAAACTTAAGCACCTTGTAAATTTTCAGTCAATTGTCAACACACACCGAATGAATGAGAAGAGCCAGCCAGGAGTCTGTGAAATGGTCCAGTTGGGAAATGCCTAATGCATAAACACAAATCTTGGTGACAGGTAGGTTAGATATCTGTGAACTTTCTAAAGGTTAAATGAACAATAATAGGATTTTGTTAATGTGCCAAAGTGAGTTTAAACCATGAAAGACATGATGCAAATATGCAAGTACCTTTAATTGGGCATAATAAAAAGTAATGAGGTATGTTTAAAATAATAACATTTAGAACAGGAGAGAAGTAAGGGAGCATTTTTGTCTAAAAAGCCAAAAAGTGATAGTTGCTTGATGATTTTGTTGTTATCAGCAGAGAGAATTTTCTTAATATAATAAATTAGACATTTTGGCAAGTGAAATGGGTTCTAGGCCAATTGCAAGTCCCTTAGGATTCCCTGGCAGCCGGAAGCCTTGGCACTCCCAAAAGACAGCTTCAGTTAAAATGACAGATGAACACAAGTCTTCAAGTCAAAGCTACTGTCATACCACGCCCGTTGAATGTTTGGTGATTCAAGTCTGTGTGATTCAGGGACTGATTCTGTTTTTCCTCCTGTCAAAACCTTTGGTTGATTTTGACTGTAGTAGCACATCTGACAGGAATGTGAGAGAAAAAAATTAAGTTAAAATATAATTTCTATTCAATTATTATTATTTTCTATAAAAGACTTTATGGGGAAGAAGGGAAGAAAGTTGAGATTATGAGTAGAGATGATACTTGCTTCTGGATGACCTGGCTGGGTTCTCCTTTGACTGCTGTCACCAAAGCTGACCTCATTAGGTTCCAAAGTGGGAGAAGAGCTTCACTGCCAAGTTAGTGAAAAAAGAAGATGACTTATTTTGCTTGAGTGGGTCTGTAGGCCTCAGGAGATTAGCCATTGCTCTTAGAGTTTGGTGTAGGTATTAAGTTACAGCATGTATATAGGTATATAAAAAGTATATATGTATGTGTGTATACATATATATATTTCTGGTTTGCTTAATATCTTTTAAAAAATGTTAATGGAATTTTTTGAACATGTACAAATGAGAAAGAATCCTATGATGAACTCCTATGTATCCATGATGCAGCTTCAACTATAATCAACCCATAGCCTATTGTGGTTCCTGTTGACATTCATCCACTTCTTTCCCTCCCCATCTCATCCCATTATTTTGAGACAAATGACATCCTGAAATTTCATGACAATATTATGAACATCTGGTTTGTGAGAACAAGATTTCCCAAAGCATGATCCCCAGAAACCTAGTCCTGCAAAGCTACTGCAAAAATCAAGTGTTCTCATCTCCAAATGTTTCAGGCAAATGTTAGATATCATCTCTCTCTTTGAAGAATTGTCCCATATGTGAATATATTAATGGTTCTTCACCTAAGAACCCATTTAAACCTGTATCTCCCAAACTTAATTGAGTCTGGAATTCTTTATTTCCAGGAGATTCTATTTACGTTGTGAGGAAGAAATGTTAAGAGACAGTGTTTACCACATTTACCAGGCACTCACTATGCGTTAGGTTTGCTGTTAAATGCGTTTTACGGGCATTCCTTCATTTAACCCTTATAACAACTTTATGAGGTGAGATTGACAGATGAATATATTACCCTATTTTCAGATGAAGAAACTGAAGCTCAGATAGAAAATGACTTGGCAGGCCGGGCGCGGTGGCTCACGCCTGTAATCCCAGCACTTTGGGAGGCTGAGGTGGGTAGATCACGAGGTCAAGAGATCAAGATCATCCTGGTCAACATGGTGAAACCCCATCTCTACTAAAAATACAAAAAATTAGCTGGGGATGGTGGCGCGTGCCTGTAATCCCAGCTGCTCAGGAGGCTGAGGCAGGAGAATTGCCTGAACCCAGGAGGCGGAGGTTGTGGTGAGCCGAGATCGCGCCATTGCACTCCAGCCTGGGTAACAAGAGTGAAACTCCGTCTCAAGAAAAAAAAAAAAAAAAAGAAAAGAAAATGACTTGGCAAAAATCATAGCAGGGGCAAGATTTCCTCCCAGGTCCATATGACCCTTGAACCTGAGTTCCCAAACCTCATGCAGTACAGCTGGAGAAGTGGTATTAACAATACCTGATGGCATGAGCATCCTCTGGTGGCTTTAATGTATTCCACTTTTGATTCAAAAGTCACCAGGAAGTTTATCCAAAACAATAGAGGTGAGAATAATCTAAAAGATACAAAACAACTTTTGTGCCTTCTATCATCTAAAAGGTACAAAACAATTTTTTTCTATGGAAGTAGAAAATATTAATCAACAATGTACTCCTACTTTCTTACGCTAACAAGGGAAACAAAGGTATAACAGAACATAATTGATCAGAGTCATCAGGCTAAGAACTTTTTTTAGTAATATTTTCTGTTTCCATAGAAAAAATTATATTGTGCCTTGAAAATTATTTTCACTTCTATTGTCTTAAACTTCCCAATGCCTTTCAAAAAAAATTAGGGTAACCATTTTTTTTTTTTATCCAGGAAATAAGGCACAGAAAAGATATACATCTTGCCAGAGATCTAAAGTTGATTACAGAGCTGGAATTAGAATGTAGATATTTATGTCCAGGGCATTTTTTTTTTTTTTTTTTTTTTTGCTGCACCATGAATATTGCATTTACAAATAGGATTTGCCCCCAACTCCTGACTTGTTCTGATTGGTGTAAACTGGGGAACAAAGGATTGGGAGGTAAGGGAGACTGCTTTCATCCAGATTTACTAGATAGTAGAGAGTCCATTAGTGTTAATACTGTTTTCAGGGTTCTTCAGAGGCAAGGTCTAGTGCTTCTCTTAGCATTTATATCATGTTTTGCATATTTTTGGGTAGGAAAGGAAAATCTAAAGGTTTACTTTTCTCAGGACAAACTGTGAACTACCATAATTCATTGCTTCTTTACATCAGGGAAACCCTGCCAGTGCTCATTGTGATATGCACTCACCCCCAGGCTGTTTCGGAAGCTCTGGTTCATGGCCCAGCCGTGATGAGAGGGGCTTTGTGGAGGCACTCAGGGATTCCTTACTGGAGGTATCTGTGGTACAGCTGAGAAGAGAACCAAACGGTGAGGTGGAAGAGTGGCTATTTACCATCTAGCTCATGTTCCTTGTCAA